CCAGTGAGCGATGGTGATAATCAAATTAGGGGTTTAAACTCTAAGTCCAACATACACATAAATGCACACTGCCCTTCCAAAGTGAAAAAGGGCTTAGGGTGAAAGTCATTACTGACTTCCGACAAATACGGTCTTTGAGGAACACATTCCACTCTATTCCTAACTAAAAAACCACGAGAGATTCTGGGAAAAAGGCTGATCGCCTGAACAGAGAATATTCCAGTTTCTTCGAGTCTCGCGAAGATTTATCAAAGCAATGAGTCTTTGCAACAGATAGGTAGCGTCATTGCCTAAAATATCTTCTTTCATTTAATATCTTGCTTTCTGACTTATGACAGTAACTCGTCATGTCAAACCACTCGGATCGGGCCCGTAACGCAGGGCGCTCCTCTTTTACGTCAACCCCCGTTGGCGGGCGGTCTTCACCTAGGCGAGGTCAAATGCGCAAAATGTTCAAAACGCGTCACAGATCATCTTTTAAGAGTATATAGAAAATAGGTCGAAGGTGGCTCACTTCAACCATAAGTTGTGCAACCTGTCCCTTTCGCTAATCCTAGACTTGCAACCGTGAGAAGACTGCAATTTCGTATCAGCTGCAGCAGTGATAAGAGAATCTGTAGGAGAAGTAGCCTCGTCGGAGCAGTGTGACATAGAGTGCTCTCCACCTATTCGGGAAGAGGAACAACTGTGCAGCTATGGACGAGTGGAAAAAGCAGATGCCCGCACTGCTTTGTTCACGTTCATGTCTGTATCACACGGGAAGCATACATGCTATCAACGGAGGAGCTCTAGCCTCTGACGTTGGTTTCCTCACGAACTGCAACCTCCACTTTATTAACACATCATCTTTGCAAAACACAGCTGGCAAATCCCATAAAGTTTTTATTACTGATCTCGTTTCAGGCCGGCAATACACCCCCCCCCCCCGCCTTCCTCCCATCACTATATCACTGCATTGCATCTAAGGATTCAATGGATTCAATTAGCTCAATTGATTCTGTTCGTATTTAGAGCTTAAGAGAGTTCAAACACTGAGCTTTACACACTTGGCAGTATAGGAGTAAGAAGTGGTACGAAATGTTAGCAGAGATGGCATCCTATTTTATACAGGGGGGGGGGGGCCAAAAAAGACTCATTCCGGCCGAGTCACATATGAGCGAAGTTTTCGCCAGGCCCAGAAAGAGGAAGTGGATATGAGTACCAAGGCGGAAGATACCAAGATTTTCCTCCATAAGCAGGAGTCGGCTGCGCCATTCACCTCATGTACACCAAAATTGAAGTCATCTCCAGTCGCGGTCTGAGTGGAGAACGCCTTTGGAATTCACGTGGCCTCCAAACAGCTGCGGAACTTCTTGAATGGAATCACCCATGAATAGCTACCTGGAGATCAGTACTCTTGATCTGCAAGACCTCAAACATCGAGCAGCTCCGCAAACGTCGCTACGGTCCAGGACATCATCTTCACCCCATTCACCAAGGCGGCGGGTTGATGGTGGGACCGGCCGTACCTGGAAATGGATGAACAATATTTTTCTTCGTGGGCCCCAGACTGAAGGTGTGCGCTGGTGGCTACATCGAGCAACTCGAGGAGATATACCATCTTCATGTGTCGCCCGTACCTTCTTGGAACTTTGTACTGCTACAGGATTGGGTGACAACACATTTAATCGAAGGGCGTTGGAAAAACCTTTCGCTACTTGAAATGGAAGAACGTTTAGTACCTGGAAAAGATGAGTATTCAAGCGGGGGTTCTGAACTGAACGCCCTCAATCACTCGGTTCGGGAGGAGCTCAACAGGGTGGTCTACAGTGGCGGAGATATCAACGATCTCGCTCAACTCCGGTACCCACTCACTTTCGCGCGGCCGGAATCTCTCGATGGCGCTTCTCCAGAAGGCTGTGGCGGAGCATCATTATAGTATTTAATGTGCTCTTTAATATGGTAGTAAAAATATTCAATAAAAATTCATATAAAGTGTAACTTATAGCGCTTGAAAGTCATGGAGCGCAAAATGACTTTCTTTTTTTTGCCCCCCCCCCTGTAATTTTATTCATGTCACCTGTCACCGTCCGATGCTCCCTACCACTAGAATCTCTATAATCCGAAGTGTAAAAGCTATAACACCTTACAAGACGACGACGACGGCAACGTCCCTCATCAATCCTGTCAATTGATGTCACTTTCTGTCGCGCCAGCATTGATGTCCCCATGCCACCCCCTACTTTATATGTTGGGAGCAGCTCCTCACTAATGCTTGACTCGAGCTGTATACACAAGCCGTGCTAATATGCACGTGATATTCATTGTCAGCTCCTACGTTCACGCACCCAATGATATTCTTGTCCTATACCATTAAGTCATACCTCAGAGTTAGAGCCTAATCGACCGCCGGTAATCTGCATTCCAATATGATGACCATCCTGTTCTAACGCCCTTATAAAATGTTATCAGTTGTTAGCATTCTTGTCACACATCAGTGAAGTTCCTATACCAAATACGTTCATATCTTGTACCGTCGCCCCACTGTTTTGTTGAAACAAGACGCCTTTCTGAAGATTCTTATCAAGATCTTATCAGCTGATATGAACCCTGTCACACGCCAATAATGTTTCTGCTCCATACCTTATATCATCTCTGAGAACCAAGTCTCACTGCTACTTTGACACAGAGTAACAGCATCGTGATTTGCCTCGATGGAGAGTTTTGGTACGACCTCCCCACCTAGGAGAGGGTTTCGTACAACCTCAGCCCTTCCCAAGCACCTACCCACCCAATTTCCACTTTCTTGAATTGTCCCAGTCTTCCACCTAATTCCAGTACTAGGGATGGGGCTATGCGTGATTTATCGGTGTACATGGAAATAAGGAGAAATCACGGAAAAGTCATTAACCCGGAAAAATTTTTCCCCCTACGCGGCAAATGTAGGTATCGTGTCAAGAGAATCACAATTAGCCGTGCAGTGGGCGTCGCGTGCGACGTCGCACCAGCTAATAACGGCGATTTCTGGTCAGAAATTAGACAATGGATGACCTAAAATAGAATGTGTCTTCCATTGTTTCCTTGTCTCAAAATCCGATCGCTCCATCGAAAGGGTATAGGTAAAACTAAGGAAACCTTCGCGGGCCATTTCGCGCTGCGCGAGAACGTAGCGGCGATTTTACGGTTCCTTTTGCCGTCTCCGAGCCAATTTCTCTCAGAACCACATCACGACTGAAACTCCCTCTCCCAATCAACGACCAAACATACGGCCCCCCGTTCCCAGCCGAAAGTACGACCTCTCCTATTGCTTCACACAGCGGTGCTGGGATTCCCTGATGTAACAGACGCCTATGAATTACCTGATAGACACAAACACCACCACACACACACACAACACAACACACACACACAACGCCCACACACACACACACACACACACACACAACACACACACACACACACACACACACAGCACACACACACAGCACACACACACACCAAACACACACACAACACAACACACACACAACACACTGTTACATAATAGTTTGGAATGTTTTTGTTCTTATTCGTAACGGCCATGTGGCACTTTATCGAAAAGGCGTTTTTGCTGTTCGGGCACCTTTGCCGGGCAAAGCAAGGTTTTTGGCATTTTTGCTATTGTGTTTGCTCGAATGGGCGGTCATTATGCCTTTGAGCAAAAAAATTCGTCCCTTAAGGGGACTCCATGCCGGTTTTTTCGCGTTTGTTCGGTCTGGTAGTGTGCGGGAAATCTCGTCGCGGTGCCCGGACAACTGCGATCCTACTGCCCGAAGGTTGCGGAAACTCGTCGCACCGCCGGTCTTTTTCATTCGTTAGTGCGCCGGGAATCTCAGACCGCGTTAGCCGGAACACACTGTCCATCGACCCTAAGAGCGGAAAACTCGTCCAAATTTTTGTCTTTAGGCCGCCGACGTGCAACATATGGTGGTTCGTCTAAATGTTTTTTGCAGTGTTCGATGCTTTGCCCCACGCTGTTGTCTGTCTGCTTCTGCTGCAGAGTTTTGTGACAGGAGTATGCCACAAATACAAGTAGTTGTCACGTGTGGACGAGATATGGACAGTCATTGGACCTGAAAAATGAGAGGGACTGGAGCACAGCTAGAGAAGTATTTTCCGCCAACTGTTGCCGCCCAGAATAACATTAATTGCTGGGAAACAGCTCTCTGGCTGCGCGTTCCCTGCACGCGTTCTCATTTGCAGGGGTAATTACTGTACTTCTGCAGTGTACCATTGCATATATTATTTTGCATTTTACGAGGCATACTAAATAAGGAGGTTACTTTACTGATATAGAAGTGTTCGAGACAGTTGCTTGATATAAAACTTTATTTGATAGAAATTTATTAAGTGCATGGCATTGGTAATTGATTTAAAGCTTCAGTGTTATGCTCGTCACCTTTTCGGACCTTCTGATGAAAAGATGCGGAGACGACAAATCGATTATAATTATCACAATATAGGCTGTGAAATGAATTAATGCTAGAACATGAGAACACAATGACAACTCAGCGGGGCTTCAACAAAGAAAAGTTTTTGAGATTTTGGCAGGACTGGCCGAGTAAAGCGCGTGCGACGACGAAAAGAAGGTGAGCTGAAGAGAGAAAAAGAAGCGTCTACAGGCGAAGGAGACGGGTCAGATAGACTGGGAGGAAGAAGAGAATGGGGAAAAACAGAATGGTATATGTGAAGCATCTACACAGTTGGGAATCTAGCGACTGAAAAAAACGCAGTGATTTTGTAAGACAATCGCTCCTAGGAACAACAATGTACTGAACCTAGACAAGGGATCGAACTTATTAGAAGTTCGAATACGACGTGGAGACCGCAGATTGCAGAGACAGACACCCGGCAATGAATAACTAGTTATGCAAACATAAACACAGTATGTGTGCGTGTTTGAAAGATGAAACACATAGAGCTAAGCATAAATTAAACGACCCGACCGATACAGCAGGCAAGTAGGACAAAATGAAAATTTGCTACGAGTCTTCGGAACGAGTCGACTCAGGCTCTTCCGGAATTCGCGATTGATACCATTCACGATTCTCTTCAAGCTGATCGAGAATGTTCTGGGCGTCTGGATATACCAAATCGGCCCACGTCTCGTACAATGGATGGACTATGTAATCGATGAAGCCAACCTAAATTAGACGTTGTCAGGCCTAGCTACTGGACAAAACGAGAAAAAAGTAGGTCGCGAGAGCATCGATTTATTTCATTTGATTTTGAGTACCTTCTGAACTTTTCTTAGTGCACATATTTGCAAGAGTATCTCGCGTCAGTTTTCTATAGTCTTTTTGTTGACTCCTTCCCCATTGGTTTCCTCATTTCGTCCACTCTACCTCACTAGCGAGCCCTGTGGTGGCGGAGTTACAATGGTTTGTATGAGATAAGGCGAAACAAACTATTGCTATTTCGTAGTAGTTTTTCCAACGATGTCTAGATCTTTCTAATATAGACAGGTAAGGTTACCCTTCCCGCAGGCGCGGCATACGTAAAAGGGACGTAAGGATGATATTGAATCTGATACTACGTGCTGTTCAGATTGACCGGATTTTCATACGATCGCATTTTTCACGAACGCGGTATTTGACACGGACGCTGGCCCTCGAACAGATCTCCTCAGAAGTGAAGGAGCTTTCGGTAGGGTTAATCAACCCATGAGACGGTTTTCCGATTCGAATGGCTGCTATATTGTGTTTACGAGAGGAGTCCTTCGGATC